AGAAGATATTTCACGGTCTCACAATTGGCACCATCTGTGGGAATCGTCTGCAAGAATTCAACGAAGGAGATAATAAACACCACACTCAAGATACTCAAATCATCCTTACCCGTTACTAGAAACAAGACCCACAGTTAATCCTGCCTTTTTCCTCTTTGTTTAAATTTATCTTTGAAGTTCAATCTTGCTGTCTATATGCATATACATATATATAGAGATATATATGTATATATTTATGCTCACAGATTTAGTCCAAACTCTTGTTTAATATCTATCTTGGCATTCTCTCTAGAAGAGTAGTCGGCACATATTAGTTGAATTTACTTTTGCATTTTCATGTTCTCTCTCTAAAAATGAGTTTCACACTTTTCTCGGTAACAGCATCTTTTCGGCATTACAAACGGGATTGCTCGGCCAAATTCATATGTAGTCTACCATATATTTATTTATTCTTTGTTTCTCAACACTTACCTTGCAGTTGATTGTTAACGTAGATGTGTACCTATGTTAAAAACAAAAGTTGGTCTTCACTTTTTCTCTCTCTAGACGAAACTGACATAAATAGGGCCATGAGTTATTATAAAACAATTTTTAAGATTTTTACTTCCTTATTTGTGCTAATTTGAGGCAATCTCTCTCTCTCTCTCTCTCTCTCTCTCTCTCTATATATATATATATATATATATGTATACATAAGAATTCATTTCTCATGAACGGCTCATCTTGATGCCAACCAAAATCTCGGCAAAACTGAAGAAGTTGCTTGCGTAAAGAAGTCTTGCCGACAGTTGGGTTGACACTAAAATCACAAGTATTCCAACAAAGGTTGTTCGGCAAACCAACAATGGAGCTATTCGGCAGCTCTTCCACCTTTCTCGACATCACTACACCCCAAGCTACCCATCGTTACAACACAACTCGACATCTCGACAACCCAATCTAGCTGCGACGAACCTTGCAGAAGGCTACTCGGCATGACCACGTATGGACCTTTGCACTACTCGACAACCATTCCGCATTAACCGGTTGTTCCAATGACCTGTCCCCATTTATTAATTCGACACTCAAACCATGTACGACGCCCTTCTAAACAACAATGCCGAGAAGACAACACCGAACACGCACCACCAAGCGCACATAGAACTGGCACTCACACATCCTATCCGTTTAGCAATGTTGCCATCTAGCAAGACTTATCTCTAGAAAAGGAATTATCAGCTGATTGTCACATTCGCACAATGCAGTCTGTTCTCCGAATCTTGGCACCATAACGCTGTCATCAAGCTAATTGGCAATGATAATCAAGAACGCGTGTATATCATCATGTCGGCTACAACCGCAATGCTGAGAAAAAAATTTAAGTCACTTTGGGGTCATCTTGGAAACATACTCCACAACATTTGTCATCTTCTCGGAACAAAAACTACCACCTTTTCGGCAAAAATCTCATGATCTCGTTCCCAGGAGTGCATCCACCTTCCTCGGTGCTACCATCTCCACATAACACTAACATCTCGGCTTCAAGTTTGTCACGGTGATTAAAGGCATCTTGTTACGATGAAATTTTTGCGGCTGTAACAATCTAATTTTGAGCATACCAGTGTGAAGTACTCATTGAGACGAGTCTAACATAACAAACTGCGTCAAAATCGAAGCTAAAACAAAGCCGTACAAGCCAATTGAAATTTGCTAAGAAAATCACATATTTTGCCGAAGTAGACAACCCAAGAGTTGACAAAACGTAAGAAATTATTCGGTGGATTGCAACTAAGTTACATCCTGTAATAACCGAACAATTAAGTTCAAATACATAATGTACAAAATATGGACACAAGGCATATCATGGCAGAGTGGTTCAGTGTTAATCCTTTATCATGAGAGCGCGGGTTCAATTCTTGCCAGCAATACTAATTTTCTTTTATTTTTTGCAATAGAAGAGCAATTATCGGGTGAATCGCAGAGCACCAGTCTCCACTGATTTGAGCCTTCAAAATCATTTTGGCCATAACTACGCCATCAGGAGTCCGAGTACAGCGATCCCATAGCCGTTTCCAACTATTTGGAGCATTCTGAACACATCTGTACGATCTGATTTTGAAAATTTCATACCCAAAATTAGTAGATTTTATATGCAGTGCCACATATCGCAGCTCAAACAACACTTTTGCCGCCAAACCTGTCATTTAAGCAATGCCGAATTCAACAGCTTTGGCGTCTTCCCACCACTATAACAACCCGCATCATCCGACAATTTTGGCTCAAGTTTATTCTGAATTCCTTCCGAATAACCGTTGTCATTCGAAAACAATGAGGCAACTATACTTTGTTCTCGGCTAACTTCTCAGCAATGTTGGCCAACGTCCAATCAGAATTTCTTCCGAATAACTAACGTCATTCGCAAGCACTGGAGCAATGGCGATCCAATGTTACATGTTCACAACAATAGAAGCAATTTTCCAACTAAATTCCATGACAGTTCAATGTGGTGATGGTATAATTTAATTGGCTTAATGCTCATCGCTAAACTCCACTCACTCGGCCCTTTCAATTCGGCAACTTGGCAGTTCAATCTCCGTTTAGCCACGTCAAAACCTACTGCGCAAAAACCTATGCGTCATTCATACACCTGCAACTGAGTCACTATTGTTCTCGGCAACCCATTGTCTCGGTCGAACTTTATGTCGTCCATTCCCCCAATAATCTAGTCAGCCGAGTATCAACATCAATTCCAGAGTCACATTGGAGTCCAATTCAACCAATTTTGTGCCTACTATTAGGATCAACGACCTGGAACATTCGGGCGCTACAAGATTGCTCCATAGTCACATCATATCTGATCGGCATGCAATTTCAGCAACAGGATCGTGGGGCTAGGAAAAAATCCTTCGTCCTTCCCGATCATTTATTTCGTTACCTTGGCCATTTATTGCCAACTGGGACATCTTAGTCCATTTTCCGCTTGCCACTTGGGGCATATCAACCGTTTATCATCTCGGCACCTCTGCTATGCATGCATACTCAACCCACTTGGTACAAGCATTACAAAGACAATTACTTGAGTTACAAACTCCCACTCCTTCTCACACAGCTCCAAGCAAGCGACAGTTTTGGGGCAATAAACTCATGCTACACATTCGGCTACACACTCGACAATTCTTTGCATATTTTTGCGGCTGATATATCTGTATTATTTGGTACAAGCAGTCATTGACACGGATTATTATCCTTACAATGTCTACAATTGATCACCGCCTGACACCAACAAACGCCTCCATATTTTGGAGCTCTCCGTACTCGGCACATAGAAATATCTCTAGCTTGGCACAAAAGTCTATATTTTGAAACAATTTTCGCACTCAGCAATACACTCCACCCTCGCCAGGGGGTTACAATTGTTAGCATATTATATTAAGTGATAGCATATGATATTCGCCGAAAGGCACACTAGGGTCTGTCTGTAATCACTGTAATCATTTTATGCACTCTGGGATAGCACTCAGGGATCATCTTGTAAATTGCATTTCTTGTAAACCCTAATCTTCTTTTATAAATAGGGGATGATATTCTATCATTCCCCAAGCTGGTTACCCAAGCTTCAACAATACTGCAGCCTACACCCTTGCCCGGGGGTTATAATACTGCGGCCCACACCCTCGTCCGGGAGTTATAATACCGTGGCCATCGTTACAGAGATATCTAATGTAGACTCACTTATGATATAGTTTGTTTAGAACTCACCCCTCCCTTATATACATATAGTTATACATATATTTGTACATTCATCCATACATACATGCATTCATCCAGTCATTCATTCATGTTACTCATTTTCAAATATATCATTTGTCACGAGACCTAACATCTATTTGAACAGCATAACTCGGCGATAAAAACTCTCATTCCTTCTACCGCAGACAATGAAAGTTTTGGGGCAATTGTGGTAGCCAGAAAAATATATATATCAGCTTATTGGGGTTAACTCAAACAAGGCCTACAATGGGTCCAGCTCAAACAAATATGACACCCCTCCATCTATATAAAAAGGGGCATCCCAGAAGAGGGGGTAGGCCTCATCTCTCTCTGCTCCACACAGCACACAAATACTCTTCATTTTTATACATTCATTCTTTCAATCAAATGACTAACTTTATCATCGGAGTGTCTCCGGTAGGCAACCCCGGTTGGGTGGCGCCAATCATGCTCATCATTGCAGATATACAGGGACAGAGTTCATCTCTTCGTTGGATCTCTACAATTCATGTAAGAGGATATTTCATGGTCTCACAGACACGATCTCACACAGAGAGAGACACACACACACACACAGCGTAACAAGACAAACCAACAAACTATAGCGGAACTAGAGAGAACCAGAGAGGGAGATAGATCGCGAATCAATCGCGATGCTGAAGCAGATTGAGAGAGGCGACCGCGTGAGAGGTGACGACGACCGCTGAAGCGACGACGAAGGCTGCTAAGAAGCAGCGACGACAGCTGAGAGAGGCGACGGTGCTAGGGTTCATGAAGACTGATCGTGACCTTAGGTTTTCGAATACGGCTCTAATACCATGTAAGATTTCTGAATAAAGTCTGTATATTCAATTTGTTTGTTTACATTATATAGCCCTAAATCTATGACTGAAAAAAGGAAATACAACAATCTTGCCTAATACATGCCTAATTCCTAATATACACAATGCCATATATACACACAATGCCATATATACACAATACAACAATCTTGCCTATTAAGTGCCTAATTCCTAATATACACACTGCCATATATACACACAATGCCATATATACACTATATTCACACAGAATGATCATTGGAGGGATTGGTTTCACTTGTAATATCAGAATGGTATCAGAAAGCAGAGACACTGGGGCAAAGGTTGGCACTCCCAAGAGAAGATGAGAAAGGAGAAAGACGAATGTGAGCACGAGAGAGAGGTTCCATTGCCAGGCACAATTAATATAATGAGAATTTTGGTGTTTACCTGGGGCATAATGATGGTGGCTAATGTAAGCAGATGGATTGCATCTTCTGCAGAGAAATTCACAAAAGACCTTGGCTTTCACTGCAACCTCCTGAGTTAATAAAATGAACACATCAACTATAGGAAACATATCAATCAAACTGAAACAAGAATAAATGAATTTTGCAAAGAAAATCAAGGACACGAATGTAACTAAAAGATAGATGATAGCTTCTGAAATTGCACCTGAATGTGCAAATCAAGTTAAGGAACCATCCTAAATTTGCTAAGTCAAGCAAACGAAAATTGTCAACATGCCAACCACATATAACATTTGAGATAAATTTATTAAGGCACTGACCTGGATAGAAACCCTGAACGTTGTTTCCATATAGAAGCTCCAAAAACTAATTTTAAAAGAAGTTTGCATATCTATGAAAGTTCTCTTTACTACTATTGTTTCTCAAAGTATCTCTCTCCCCCTTATTGAATCTAACATGGCTACCTCAAATTTTGATCAACATGAAATCCAAATGGGCTCTAACATGTGTCTGATTATTTTTATTAATTTAGATATCACCCTTTATTTTTAGATGTTTCAAATGTTACACTATAACCACTTCCCTTATTTAGTGTCTTTCTTTAGCATCATGTAGAACACACGTGCACAACAATTTTCCTGGACCAAACCAAAAATGAAAACCCCAAAATGTTGTTGCAGCCAGTGAAGTCAGCGCAACAAAGATTTTATTTTATTTTATTTTTTATCAGCAAAAGAAAAAAACTTTATTGATGAAGCACAAGCATACAAATACTACGACCAACATCAATAAAGGGAGGCAAAGTGCAAAGAGTATCAAAGCAAAGCATAACCATCCCAACTATGTTGGCACCGAAATGCAAGCCCAATCATTTTCTAGCACTATACCAAGTTGGTGAGAAGCCAACCCACAAAAAACAAAGGCCAAAGGAAAAAAAAAAAAAACAAAAGTGAGACTCAGCCAAACCCAACAACAATGACAAAACAAAACAGGCCCTATCCTAATAAGCTTCCCTTCCTATGCAAGGACAGCCATACTTCATCCCAACCTCAGCAGCAAACCAAGGAAACATTACTTAGGACACCTACTAATCATGAAAAAGCACACCATTAGCATTATAATACTGAAATTGAAGAAGGTGACACTAGGCAAAATATAATTTCCCAACCAATAATACAACAAACTACTAATGGGACAACACTCAGAAAGAACTTACTGTGAGGTGTACATTAGAAATAACTAAAATAGAACATCCACATGATGATGATAGTATCAAGATGCAAGACAGACAAAAACATGCTTCCTCAATGAAAAACTAGATAGCCATCAGTTAAAATAGCAGCTGCATTATCAGCTTACCTATCAGGAAAAAAGACGGATAATTACAGCTCCAAAACAATGACAACAGAAATTAGTTTTTGATCAGCAAAGCGTAAATATCTTTCTCCTGGCACTGTCAGATGAATATACTTAAACTAGTATGGCAGTTAGACTTTGCTGAGGGGAAGTGGAGATATTTCATTCTCTGTTTCAGGTCTCTACTTGTAAAGGGGGAGGGAAGACAACAGGAATTGATATGTGACTCAAAAATGCTCTAAAAATGTTGTAGCTCTATAAGTCAATATTAAATTGAGGAACCACTGATATCAGCTAGGAGAAAAGGTGCAAAAATGAGGAAGGTAGCTGTGTTGGGTAAGACTTCATGGGATAATGGTGAACATGAAGCATGTTTTGTTTTTGAAACTGCCCTGCAAGTAAAGATCCAGACTAGCAAATTTTTCACTTGCACCAAAATTTGCTCTCAACGTCAGATGTTTTCTGCCATATGAAGTGGATAAAGTAAAATATGTTCATGTTAGTAACACTGGAGGACTCTAAAAGAGGTTCACACTCAAATCAGAAGATCAGCTTGCAAAAGGATCCTAGACAAAAGAAGAATAAGTGTACAGAAAAAGACGGGAACTAGCAAAGAGGGCTCAAAATCTACAAAAGAGGAAGGGTGCAGAGTTGAGGAAATCAAATAATTCCTTTGGAGGAAGTACTATTCGAACATATTGGCAGTTGAAGGAAACATGATTTCTAGGAAGACGCATATTAGTCGTGGTGATTGAAACTATTGCATGCGTTATTTTCTGATGTTTGGTAGCATAACAAGTATGGAAAAAGAGCGAGCAACATAGGCACTCCTCATTCTTGAATTGATGGCTGCAAGTGAAAGGGTATAAGGAAAAATGATTCTAGCCAGTGCTAATTTAGCTGTCATTGATGGAATTGCTGCATCAACAAGCTAATTCTTCTAGTGAGCTAGCAATGTCTAGTGCTTTAAATTAGAGTAGTGGAATGGAATCACAGAGAACCACAAATACAGCTTCCACCAAACATTTCAAATATCTCAATTCCTTTTGACAAACCTTGTGACACAAGGAAAGTGGCTAGAAGAAAGCAGAGCTTCATCCAACTCCTAAGCACATTATTTCAAATTCAATACAGATGCTGATGCTGATCAGCATCATAAATGTTGCAAGTGTTGGTGATGACTAATAGGGACTTTAAGGGAAATGTGGTGGTAAAGCTGCAAGAAACCAAATAACTTTTTAGACCATCCCCTGGGGGAGGCAAGGCAATACTAACAGGCTGTTTGTTGCAGTCATGGCTCGCCCACACAGCCTCTGCAGAGTGGCACTCCAAGTCTTGGTAACATCATGGTAACCTAGGATGGGAGCAAGCTATGTTACTTGGAACGTGGATCATTCCAGTTCATGGAACGGGAATGGGAACGCAATACGCTACATGCTTTAAATTGTGGTACAATAGGGGTAGACTTGTATAGGTTTACGCTACAAGAATTTAAAGTACTTCTAGTCTAGTGTAATTTTATTTTAACATAACAACTAGACAACCAGTAAAATGTAGGTTTTTTTCCCCCTAATTAATCATGTAGCAACATTATGATCCATTTTTGACGTTTTGTCATATCAAAACTTCACTCATCTTAAATTTTAGTTCATTAAATTTGATAAAAGAAAATATATTGGGAAAAAAAAAACTTTTGGGATCGCCATGGATTGCTAAATTTATCATTTTGGACTGAAAGTGTAGCATGTAATCAGAATGTGCGTTCCAAAACGTAAATTGTTAAGGTATCAGTGTTTTTATGGCAACACTGGAACGGCAACTAGGGACTCAGGTAAGGATTATTGGTGGATATACGACTTGGAGGTTGGACCTACAAAGGGTAGAAAGCCAAAGTAGAAGAAAAACAAAAGCAATCAAAGCATAGAATTGAAGATCAAAGCATTAAAGAGATCGCGTGCAAAAGAGAAAAGAAGTGTGATGAGCGAAAATCTTATGCATTTATCTCCAATTCTCCATCCTTTTTAACTTAATTCCTTCTTTATAATATGAAAATAGCTTGATTAACATGGATTAACGTTGTGTAATTAATTGAATTGATGGTTAATTTATGGGTCTATTATAGAATTCCTCTATGTGCTTCATAGCCCAGTATTCTTTCAACCCAAAACCCTAACTTGTTGACTCCTAATCAACCCAGCCCCCAAAACCCTAACTTGTTGACTCCTAATCAACCCCAGCACCCATTTCCCTAGAATTTGGGCTTTAATTCCACAATAAAACCCCTAAAAATAGCCATTGTTCAGAGAATTCTAGCAACATGCGCTAAAAATCTAGCAACCTCTCCCTTTGAAAATCAAGCCAATTCTCACCCGTTTTATGTCTATATATAGATAGATAGATAGATTATATAATTAAATGTAAGTATTCTTTCACAAATAGAAACTCAATTTTACTGCTGTTTACAGTCGAAGAGAAAGAGACCCTCATCACTTGATCGAAGATAGGACAAAGAAAAAACATAAAGAACATACCTACAGACTCTGACTTAAATTATGAAAAATTAGGGCTTAGGTTTTTACCTTCCATGCACGCTTGAAGAAATCAGCCAACATTTCCATCGCAAGAAGGGAAACAACAGTAAAAGAAAAAAATTAGAAAGTACAAGACTCTTGAAGAAAAATTGCAACTTTTACCAATCTAAGCACAAGATGGGAAGGCGGAAGGGTAGCCCAGGTCAGAACTGAAAAGGAAAACATATAAAGAAGTAGAAAAAGAAAAGCTAGTCCGAAAAAAAAGCCTCCCACAGAAAGTAACGGCTATTATCCTCTATATCGATATTACGAGAAACTGACTAGCTATTAATTTGAATTGGATTCTGATAATCTCTGTCTTTATTTCAATATGAATTGAACCATTCCCACATACACAAGTGTATGGCCTAAACAAAGGCCCCATCTTCCTAATCATCTCTAAAGCATGGCAAAATTTCCCGACCCAATTGTATTTGATCAAATCCAATTCTAATAAAATAGGTTTGGAAGAGCATTGATAAAGTAAGATAGTATAGGGTAGATAGGTCAAAATTGTCAGGGGTGGGGTAAAGTATGAAATTGTATCACTAAAGTAGTTGACTTTAAAATCAAGAATTCACGCGTAAAACCCCAAAATTCCTGATCTATTGCCATCCCTTAATATTCACAACTCTGGCCAACATTAAAGTATATAAAACAATGTCAAAAAAGTAATCTCAGTTCCTTTCTTCGATGATAGATTCTTGAATGATCATGTTGGCAAGCTAAGCTCAAGAGCTCAATAACAATTTGGTTCTTTTGCAACGCCTGAAAAAATAATTCTAGTTTTCATTACATCAATGCAAAATTAATTCTTAAGTGAGACAATTACATTGAGATGTAATGCTTTATCTTGACATACTATAACAAGCTACTACTATATTGATGAGTATGCTAAATTTATCAAGAATGGAAAAATTAATTCACATTAAACTATATTTAACTAAGCAAACATTTCAGAATTATCTTTAATACTAGCTGTGGCTTCTGTATCTCCAACAATCAATTAATGACAAAAACCCTAAAGCGGTTTGTGCGTATACCATGCTAGCTGAATGCACTCTAACCTAACTTTATTTTTCATATGAAGATAATATATCATGAAAAGGATCACATGGAACATGACATAATTACTTTACCTCCACAAAGAGCTGTCACTTAGAGCAAAGTGGCACCTTCCTAACAGCTTAAGTTTTGGGACTGGTGGTCTGGTCTAGAACTGGTCGCACCCCGTGTCATCTTCCTCTTAGTTGATGCCATTGAAGTCATTTCAGCCCTTTTCAGTAACCTGGACAGATTTTTGACATAATCACTATCACAGCTGAAACTTACTACCCAAAATGGTAATTTATGGATTTTCTTTATCTAGGTAGCTATCTTTTCAAATTTTTTACCTGACCATGACACTTCCATAGAAGTTGTCATCGGCACTCTCTGGCATGTGAGAAGTAATATAAATAGTAATCACAATAAGCACAATACTGCAATCTTCAAAGCATGGAAAATCCCAACACGACATACTTCTTCTCTCAACTACCACTCTCTCAATCACTAGAATTGCCTCTCCTCAGACCCAATCCACCTCAACACTCCTACACCAGATAACATGTTCTAGCACTACCCTACAAAGACTACTAACTCATCTACATAATTCCATTCAAAACAACTGATTGGTTATGGTAATCGAAAGAAACTATAAGAATAAAAAGTTGGTTATAAAATGCTATGAGGCTACTATAAAGAGAAATTGCAAATTATGAATTACTCAAAAGTACCATTCCATTTCAAAATTTAAAAGTTGGTTATAAAATGCTTTCCTTCAATAGGAAACTTTGTGATGCACCCTCGTATCCAAAGAAAACCACCACGAATGACATTGGAAACTGCAGAATGAAATCCAAAAGAACCCCCTCCAGGGGATTATGATTATATATCCTCATAGAATTTGATAGTAACAAAATTATAAATAAATAATCTTGAACTATTACAGGTATGTGAAGGCACCATCCAAATAAATCTCTCAACAAATTTTAAATACACAACAAACACAACAGCTTATAGAGACAAACAGAGTCACATACAAACAAGAACAGAATTTCAAAACTAAAAAATTTCACACATACCCAAATAAGAATGGACAATTTCATTCAAAAGCAGTAATCAATTAAAAAATTAAAAATAAAATAAAATTTAATCTATGAGACTCAATTGGGTGATTAAACAAAGATGGTTTCAAAATTCAAAAAACCCAGCAACAATATTACTGTTTAGAACAAGACCCTAAACTCGATTGTGATCAAATTGATATGAGAAATTGACAAAAAGTCGAATGGAAGAGTTTTGGGTTACCTGCGGTGGCGGTGGCGGTGGTGGTGGCGGCGCCGGAAGATCGTATTCGCCGGAAAAGTCATCTCGGAGGATCCGATAATCTTGTCCGAAATATCAACGACTATAATTTCATTCTGCTTTACCTACCTAAGCCTATTGTAAGAACAAAGCCCATGGGCTCTCCTATTGGACTTTATTCAGGCCCAGGCCTATTGGGTTTTGGATTAAAAGTCTAATCCAAACCCCAACTCATATGTCTATCCTAAGGCCCATACATTTTCACAAAATTAAAAATATATATAACTTAATAACATAATTTTACATTTTAATAAATAAAGTTATTTTTTTATTTTTTATGATTTAACATACAATTTTAATGGTTGTGATGCACTAATTTTGTATTATTTTGTAAATGATTTTTGAATTTAACAAAAAGAACTTTAATTAAAAGCCCAATTACCCCAATATGGGTCAAGCCTGTCCCAAAGCACACAAACCCATGTTTTTTCAGTCCATGGGTAGGTCTTCAACTTTAAAAATGTAGAATAGGCCTGAGCCCAATAGGTGGCCTGGCCCAAGCCCAACCAATTGACTAATCAAAACCTATGGGTCTGGCCCATCATTGACCCATAAAATTTTCTTTGGCAAAATTACAAGTGGAGTTTATATTTTGGTTCAAGTCACAGGTTTCTTTTTGCACCAAAACATAAGATTACTTGCACGCTTATATTTTTGCAGTTATTTTCTCTTTTTATGCTTAATTTCAAAAACAAAATAAAAAATAAAAATAAAGTAATGCTATGTTGCTTTTTTCTTATATATCATATATGAAAAAATAAAAATATATAAAGAGAAAAAGAAAAAGGAGAGAGTGTCCTCAAATGTGTGCCAAAGACAATTTAGCTTCTGAAAAAGGGCATGGGCTTTTTGAGTTGGATGGGATGTGAAGCCAATTCATTAAGACCAATAGTCAATAAAGAAAGACTTATCAATAATACTTTCATACCTAACATCCTAAGTCCCCAAACATTATCAATTAGGATATTATAAACATGCTTATTTGTTTAATATAATTTCAACATAACCCCACTTTCTTGTGTAGTTTGAATGGGGGACCAAATGTAATTAGAAGCATAATCAAATTGCCCTCCGAAACCTAGCAAGTAGACTCGTGTTCTAAACCATTAAATATTTTGTTAATCGAAATGATAAACAAGTCTATAAAGTATGATTAGATTGTTGGCTTTGTCTATTAAGAAGTTAAAGAATGATCAAATCACATGCTAAAGCTTTGAGAATTTTTGTTTAGGTTAAAAAGCCTTTAAACATCTCACCAATGTTTAATAAAATCAATTTTGATTTATGGAGACCGTATCACGTGCAATAGTAGAAAGACGTATAATAAACTAAAACCATGTTAAGTGTTGAAAAAATGGTTAATATAGGCATATTTTGGACCAATTTTGAGCCCAAAATTAAATGGGTCCCGAACGTCTTTTGAGGCGGGTTCGAAGAGATGAAGTGTTCCTTGCCACATGGCAAGTCACACGGTGAAGACGGTTCGTCAAAACCATTTATGAGTGAATGGGAACATGACGTCGTTTCCGGGTTCGTGGAATTGAACATTTAAGTTTTGAATGTGGGTTTCCTTGAGAGGCTTGTCCCACATTGAAACTTGAAGAGAGTTTTGTTGACTTTATAAGCTCTAGCCTACAATATTTGGGTTGGACCCCAAGGGGCACCCCAAGTTTGTAGAAATAGGGAGTTATAGACAAAGTGAACCTTAGCTAAACCACCACACGCGCGCTGTCGTCCGGCCGAGCCGAGCGCAGGTGTGGGTCGGTTCTTGTATTAGTTTTTTGGAGAAAATTCATTTATTTTTTAAAAAATAATATTGCAAGAATTTAATTCAAATTTGAATTCTAAATTTTTTGTCCAAAATTTAAGACAACTTCTGTCCAAAATTTCTCAACATATTTAAACTGATTTTCAATTATTTAACTTTCACAAACTGCTTAGCAGTTCCGGGTATAACTGTCCAGCAGTTTATCTGTTGAAACAGTTTGGAAATCTGTTTGAATTCAAACAGCACCTGTTCAATTCAAATACCCATCTGTTCAGTTCAAATTTTTTCACCTGCTCGGCTCTATATATACCAGCACTATCCAGCACGTTTTCAAATCTGAAAAAATCAGTCTGAATTTGGTCTCTTTGCTGTCCATTTGCTCTACTGCATTTATTTTTCATTTATTAGTTTTAGAATAATATCAAGAGAGTATAGAACACAAGGTTTGGTTCGCCGTAAAAATTTGTGTGGAGTGCTACTACAAGTTTTTTAAGATCATTGTATCCTGGGAGATAGACGCCACTCAACCGTAAGTACCGTGACAGGGCGAATCTATCTTAAGGACAGAGTATCACACACTCAACTTGGTCTTATAATTTTTATTTGGTTCGACAAAATAAATCTGGTATGTTATTTATTTATTTTGTTTGAATTTATTTCTAGTTATTTTATTTATACAGAAGATTGTTCCAACAATCTTAAGACAGATTCGAATTATTCTGTTTACAGAATTTTTCGTTTGTTTTCCTTTTTCATTCTTCGTAAATAATTTCGGAAGAAAATTATTTTCTGTGGATTTACAAAATAATATTCTGGTTGAAAAAATAAATAATAATTATATGCTATTTGACAGATAATAGTAATATACTGTCTCTTTTCTTTGACAACAACTAGTAGTACGATACTGGTGTCATTAACAATTCAGAATATATTTTTTGTGGAATTTTTTCAGAAATCAATTTTGGGTTTTAGAAATTATTTTCTGAGTTTTCATTACTTAAAATTCTGTTTTAGTATTTTAATTATTGAAGTGCTACAGAAATTAATTTTCTGTGTGGAATTAATTTGGTTGAATAAAATTTTATTTTATTTCCAAATTAATTGAAAAAAGTAAAAGTTATATTCTTATTTCTTTTATTTTACAAAATTTAATTTCCTGTGTGAAATTAATTTGATTGAATAAAATTTTATTTTATTTCCAAATTAATTGGAAAATAAAAGTTACATTCTTATTTCTTTTATTTTTACAGAATTTAATTCTATGCATTTGGTTTAATTTTCTGTGTAGTGTAAATTCTAATTATAGTTTTGTTTTATAAATTAGAATTGATGGCTACTGAAACTAATGCCCAAACAAGTACTACTGTGGTGGCTGCAATTGCACCAACCCCCTCTCCTGTGATGACAGTACCAATAAATCATGGAGAGAAGCCAGAGAATTTCTCAGTAACAGACTTTAAAAGATGGCAACAGAAAATGTTGTTCTATCTTATAACTCTGAACCTGACTCGTTTCCTCCGTGAAGATGCTTCTATCCTGAAAGAGGATGAAACCGACCAGCAAGTGGTTGATACGGTTGATGCTTAGAAACATGCTGATTTCCTTTGCCGGAACTACATCTTGAACGGACTTGACAACACATTATACAACGTCTACAGTCCAATCAAGCCAGCAAAGGAACTTTGGGAATCGTTGGAGAAAAAGTACAAAACGGAAGATGCCGGCTCAAAGAAATTTGTGGTTGGCAAATTCTTGAATTTTGTAATGGTTTATTCAAAAACTGTGATCAGCCAAGCTCAAGATTTCCAACTCATTCTGCATGACATTCACGTAGAAGGCATGTCTCTCAGTGAATCCTTCCAAGTTGCAGCCTTAATTGAAAAATTACCAAAAGGCTGGAAGGAATTCAAGAACTTCCTCAAACACAAGCGCAAAGAAATTTCTATGGACAAATTAATTGTACGTTTGAGAATTGAGAAGGACAACCGCAATTTTGAAAAAAAGGCTGGTAAGCATCCTATGGAGTCTAAGGCAAATGTAGTGGAACATGCTTCAAAAACTAAGAAACGAAAGTCTTCTGGAGAAAGTTCATCACAAAGCTCTAAAGGGGGGATAATAAAAAGTACAAGTTTAATGGTAAATGTTACATCTGTGACAAAGAGGGACATCGGGCCAAAGATTGCAGTAGTAAAGGCAAAAGCAAAAGAAGAACAAGCAAGAATCCTGCTCAAGCCCATATGACCGAAGTGGACAATATTTTCAATGGTGTCGAAGACATCAATCTTTCTGCAGTTGTTTCCTAAGCAAATCTTATCGGAAATACTAAAGAATGGTGGGTGGACATTGGTGCTACTCGCCATATCTGTGCCGACAAAAAGATGTTCACATCTTATTCTACAGTGGACAATGGTGAACAACTCTTTATGGGCAACTCCTCAACTTCCAAAGTTGAAGGACAAGGAAAGATTGTACTCAAGATGACATCTGAAAACGAGGTATTCTACGCCGAACTAGGTCCCTCCTAGATGGACCCCATTATCACTTTCTTGAAAGATAGGATTTTGCCAGAGGACAAAAAGGAGGAAAACAAGATTTGAGCGAAGTCACAATCGTTTTTGCTTTCTCCATCTCTAGTGCTGTACAAAAAGTCCTTGACTAGACCATACTTGAAATGTGTCCATCCTAGCAAGGTCAAGACCTTTATGTTTGAAATTCATGAAGGCATTTGTGGAAGCCATCAGAGGGGAGATCTTTGGCCTACCGAGCTATCTCGCAAGGATATTGATGGTCGTGCATACAAGCAGATGCCGAGAAATATGTCAGAAAATGTGATAAGTGCCAGAAGTTTGCACATCAAATCCATCAACCAGTTAGAGAGTTTTTACCTCTGACCAGTCCTTGGCCTTTTGCAATGTGGGACTTAGACATAGTGGAACCACTCCCAACCGCGCCGGGCAGCAAAAAGTTCTTTATCACGGCGATAGACCACTTCAAGAAATAGGTAGAGGTAGAGGCACTCGTATCTATCAAAGAGAAAGATGTCAAGAAGTTTATCTGGCAGAACATCATAACCTAGTTTGGAATTCCTAAGGCCTGGATATCAGACAACGACACTCAATTTGATGGACTACTCTTCAGAGGCTTTTGTGAAG